AATTATCAAAACCTTTGATGTATGTAAAATTGGCTGACAGTCTCATGAGAAAAAACGTTCTTACGGTATTTTTGCTTTTAGATTGGTTAGCTTATCTGGCAAACGTGCCTTTTGAAAAGTATTATTTTATCATATCTTGTTCAGATAGAATCAAGAACAGAGATACTTAAAAAATAATACTGGTTAAAAGTTAAGAAATTTACTGAACCCTAGTAAAAGTTTTGCTTTAAAGTTTAATGGTAGTTCAGGCTGGTATTTATCTTATCTGACATGTTGCCTATAGTTAATGCTTACTATGTGTTAATGGTTGACAGACTGAATCAAGATATGGATAGAATACTGATTGTGCGAAATATGGATCAAAGTTAAGGAGCTGTTCCAAAGAAAAGAGTTTGTACTTACAGGTTTTTCTGATGTTGGTGCTGTTGGACAAACTGGACAACATTCTCCAAATGGAATTTCTGGGTTGACACAATCTAATTCCTGATCATCACAGATGATGTCATCGCAAAGAACGTTTCCTGAATCACATACACAAATCTGGCATGGTTCTGGTTTCCATACATCCCTGTCAGCGTATACTTGCCCAAGATGAGTACATGATCCTAGAATGACTAGAAAAGAAATAAAATCAAATGTAAAATGTTCAGCAAACATCAGTATATCATTCAGCCATGCCTCAAATGGATTTTTGAGAAATGAAAGTGTCTAAAATGAGATTTAATGATCTACTGTATGAACAGGAAATTATGTGCTGTATTTGCCTGCTATACATCTATTGACACCAGCCTTTGGGGCTGATTCAGAACACACTCAAATCTTCTGACTTCAGTGGCCTCACACTGAGACCCGATGAGCCAAATCAGAGAATCTACAATATCTCCAAGTTGGCTCTGTAGGGCCGATAAAGAGGAGAATGTATCCAAGATATTAGGTGTATCATCCTTAGCACACACGTTTCACATACTACAGTGAATCATTTATTTTGTTCTGGGGACGAAATGTTTATGGAGAAAAATAATGAACTTAATTTCAAATGAGCTGTCTAGCATTTAAATTTGCTAACATCATTCACAGGCTTTCTAACCCTAACTTTGGTTACCAACATCTTGCGTTAACAGAGAGTCTCAAGTGTTTTCAAAATATATTCTGGAAGCATATGAGGCATAGACCATATGGGCTAGATCTTAACATAACATTAAGATTACATGGGGAAAAAAAGCTGTGAATTAGTTTATATTTTGAAGTATATAAGCATTAGAAAAAAGTTTTTTGGATATTCATTCAACATTTTAAACAAAGGAATTCATGTATTATGTTCAAGTATCTTTTGCAATGATCCTGGTAATTAAGTTTGTGAGACATGTCTGAAGATAGTAAAGTTGAAGAATATCAGCAGAAATTAAACTCTGAATCCCTAATGGGAATTTTAAGAGACTAAGAGACATGATACCACCCGCTGGTCGTTATACCGTCCGAATTGTCAATTCACATTGTGATGCACAGATCAGCTGTCAAGGTACTATATGCTACTTTAAGGATTACAAAGTTTAATACTGAGCTCAATGGAGACATTTTCTGAATGAGGGCACTCTTGTTCTCCTATTTTGGATATGGGAAATTAAAGAATAATGATTCTAAAATTATTGTTTATAGGTAACCCCCTCAGTTGCTCCTCTTCATAACATTGTTACTTTTTTCAAGTGGCATCAGCACCTGCGTATCAGTCACTTGCAAAATGCTAGTAATAACAACACAGAATTATTAAAAAAACATTATATGCAAGTTAGAGCTATATCCTGCAGATGGAGTACATGTACATGTATGTAGCCACACCTAAGCACCAGCATGTAAACACACACATATATAAAAATACAGTTTAAAGCCATTTGAAACAGATTTGAAAAAGTTTGCTGACTTTTTTAATGTTCAAATTTTCAGCTCCAAATATCACTGCCTATTTTTGCAAGCCTCAGCTTTTACTTAATTACAATTGCTCAAGAATATCACTTTATTATTCACTAGGAAATTAATGTCAAATATTCATATTTTCACAGTAAAATGTTATTGTATAATTTTATTTTGTCATTTTTTCCTCAGAAGTCTGAACCTGTGCTTATTGAGGTTAATGGCACAGCTCCAAGAGGGAACAGGATAGTTCCATAGGCAGCCTTATAACACTGTCATTCTTTTATTTTACAGTAGATGGCATTATTTAACAGAAAGAAGTGTAGAATACATAGGCATCTGGTTATAATGACTTTCATATTTGTTTCTAACTTTCTGGGTTTTGTAAAATCAGTTAAGAAATACACTAAAAGAGCTGCAGTGCAAATCTTGGCAGCTTCTGCACAATGAAAGTATTAAATAGGTTTTCCAGAGGAAACTTACATCTGGGATGCTTTAGTCTGTTCAAGACACCCCCTCTGTGCTCAGATGTAGATCTGCATGTCATCATGTTATGACATAATGCATTGTAAATTGCACCTAACGATTAAAAGATGGATCCAACATACCCTGGAAAGCTGTTTCGTGCTAAAATGTTGGCAAATGATATGTAACAAAAATAAGGGTAGAAAAAAGGCTGATTTGTTTAGTTTTATACTTGTGGCCAAGCTAGTCAAATATTTACCATAATCAGCTTTTTTGGTATTTTCTAATCTTCTGTATTAAACTAAGATTTTATGAAATATCAAAAAATGAATAGCTTTGACCTATACCAATGCCAAGCCCAATCCTAAGTCTCAAAGCATTAGTTACTGTGGTTATATAAAACCTCAGTTCTTTGAGACTTACTGTAATGGCTTTTCAGCAATTGTGTAAATAAGTAAATCCTTGAACATCTGCAAGACATTTTACAGAATATAAATACTTTTCTGTTTGAAATGTTGCATGGCTTTAGAGTTTTCATGCAACATTTCTGAACAGATCAGATCATAAAGATTCTAAATTTGTATTAAGTAAGATTTCTGAAGACTTGTTCTATGAAAGGTTGTCCTGTCATATATTGTTTCTGACTCATAGCCCAGACTTCTCATTCACTCAGCAGGTTAGCAGCAATAGGCAGGTAGAACAGCCAGGCATTACTGAAATGAAATACTTCATGTTGCTCATAAAATGTTGTATCTGGCTGACAGACAGAACAACTCCGGTAAGTGTCAGAAGAAACCATATCTGGGCAAATCTTAGGGTAGATGGATATGGATATGACATGAAACATCATTTCAGTCAATTAGCTATAGATAAATGGCAGAGAGAATCAACCTCCCAAACTTATTCTCTAAAGCCATCATCTTTATATAAAACACAATCTCTAGTTTTTGCATTAGTCTATGCTTTCTGATCTCTGACTTAGTTGGGGCCCAAAACCTAGACCTATATGCTACATCAAATAGCTAATTCACATGTGTTTTTATGTCTTTTAAATGTCTTTTATATTATGTACTGGCTTGTTAGGATTCAATTTTTATCACTGAACAGCAATAAATATAGATTTCACCTGTCACGCATAAACTGACGGAAAAATATTTCGGTTGGTAATCATAAAAATGTATAGAACAGGTACTTAAATATATATATTTAAGGAGGTAAGGAAATCTGGGCCAGGGGGTGCCATGCGTGCTCGCGTGTGCGCGCGCACACACACACACACACACGGCAGCCACTGCAAGCAGGGTGGAGGGAGCCCCAGCTGCGCAACGCATGCACTGCTCCTCTGGCAGCGGCCCAGGCTGTTGCTGCAGGAACTGGGGTCTGTGCTGGCAGGACTGTCCTGGGAGTGGGCATTGGAGGGGCAGGGCTGTTGGCAGGTGGGTGTCTGGTGCTGCTGGCCACTAGCTCTGCCCAGGTCCCAGCTAGTGATTGGGTGCCAAACTCCTAGCAAGCCTCGCTCCCGTGCAACTGGGGTCCATCAGGAGTTTGGCCCCTGCAGGGCCAATTCTGCAGGGTCCAGGCCAGGCTTGGTGGGAGTTTGTCCCCTGCCCCCATGCTGCCCAGAGGGGCAGAAGGCCATGGCCATCAAAGGGCTGGGCCACCCATCTGCTGATGCCCACCAGGTAGGGCTCACCCCCTAAGGAGCCACAGGGACTGAGGAGCTGCTTCCTGCCCTGCGCTGGGTGGCGGTTTCCTCTCCCTGTGCTCTCAGCACTCTAGGGTACTGCTGTCCTCCTCTTCTGGTCCCTGCCCACCCAGCTCTTTCCTGATGAATGAACAGAATGATTTAAAGCAGATATGTTTTCTTGATTTATGGATATTTACTTTTATATGGTTTAACGTGATTTTATAAAGCTTTTAACAGCATACTGTCCTTTCTAAATTGTCTGCCCCCACACCCCTAATTTTGTGAAATCCTGAACATTTAAATTGATAAAATTTTTAAATGCTTAAAAATAAATACTGTTTTAGACATTGAAATTGTAAAAATATTAAAAATGGAATTCTGCCAAGCCTATTTATGTTCCATACTTTATCTATACAATACAGTGTTGATTAAAATGTAGATAAGGTAGACAGGAAAGAAGTGGTTTAATCTGGGGAGAAATGTTGAAGCTCCTCTATACACTGGAATATTTTTATGGGAACACTAGCAAGTTAAATCATCTCTGTTTCTACAACAGCATTCCTTTCTGTTTACTGGACAAAAAGGAAGAAAACCAAAATGTCTACCTTGAAGCAAATGGTATGGACTCTCTAACAGTTATGATGATGATGTTTATAAGAAAAGCAAACATGCTCATTCCATCCTAAGATCCATAATGGAAACAAATGCGCAGTCAGAATGAGCTCAGGGACTTGTTGAGCCAAAATACTTTGCACTGTTTTAAATTTTGTTCAATTAGATAAGTGCTGAATAGAGGAAATGTTTTAAACATTTTATGCATTCTTGGATTTATAACCAGAGGAGCATGTAGAAAAGAAGAAATGTTTGAAATCATATATTTTTTCAAGAGAAAAAGAAAAAAGAAAAGTAGACTTAGAGGCATAGTCTCAAATGTAATTACATTTCTCAAAAATGCATGGGTCATGCTAAAGAGAAAATATTTAAAAGCACAGGATCAGCTATGCATTTGCTTTCTGGTTTTGTCATAAACTGCCTATTTTTCCTTAGGTAACACACGTAGGGTGGGATTTTCAAAGGTGTATTGCTTCCATTGAATCCCAATGTCTATTCAAGGCCTCTTTGAAAATTTCTCCCTTAATCTCTTTGAGCTTCCACATTCTCATTTATTAAGGACAATATTTTCCCAAATAAGGCATGTCCTTGTGTGAGCATTAATCAACCAATCAATATTATAAAATACTTAACTACAAAATGTTGGTATACTCAAAATATACCTTGTAAAATTATATAGGGTTTCAAAAATGACACAGGAATTCTTAGACTATCAGCAAAATAAACCAATTTAATATCTGTTCCAGTATAGGTAAGTAGCAGTAGAGCCTATTGCTTTATTTTAAAGTTAGCTTCTACCTGGCTAGCATACCTTTGAAATCTGTAGGATGTACAGTACTTACTGTAATGTTTGTAATATTAAAAGAAAGCCCTCTGATAGATCATATAAAGAAGTTTATTGAATAATATTTTTATTGTAATAAGAGCAGAGAATGGAGAGGC